AAAAAAAATAGAAGCAAATTTCTTTACAAGTTTATAATTATTTATTTATTATGTAAACTGCCATTGTCACACCCAATACTTTCTACCATACACACTGTCGATTTTTTCTGATTACCTTTCTTGTTAATGTTTTCAGGTTTTTCATTTATCCACTAAAGATTTGAGCACGTAATTAAAGAATGAAGCAATTCATCCAAATCAAACATAAATGAGAAATAACGTGGAGCCAACGACCAAACACATGGACTCCGTTTCATGCTTAATCGCGCATTTAGTATATGTCACGTATACTATAGATAAATATACGCTTAAGCATGAAACGGACCGCAGCCATGATCGATCAGATTGATTAAACCAAAGTGCAGAAANTGCATGTAAAACAAACAGATTTCATCGCACTATGGCTGTGTTCGGCAATTCATTNGTCGGCGTTAAAAATCTATATTTCACGTCATGTATGTTGTAAATTTTCGGGGAGTGAATTTCGGAACATAGCCTACAAATAAAACCATGAGTGCGTTCAAACCACTCAACAGTTGCACAACGATTGAGAGAACACTTATGATTGGATCATACTTCTGGAACCGTAGCAGGTTTTGAGAAATAATCCTATCATAAGTGATGATCTCTTAATCTTTGACTTTTGTGAACGTAACCCATGTGTTACACATATTTAAATCTTAATATTAAGCGCAATTTTTTATGGCTGCGTTCCGATATTTATTGTTAATACCAAAAATCTGGCTAATACCAGAAAACAGTTTTCTCTAAAGAATGATTAGAGAAAACTGTTTCTTTATATTAAAAATGTGTCAGAATTTATAATTTATGGGTTTAAAGACAACGACATTTTGATTGAGTATAAATGCTTTATTTCATACTAAATAAAGGAATACAAAATTATAAAGAATTATAACCACTACATCAATCGGGATTGATTTAAAGAAACAATATCAAGATGAACTGCTCACGTGCAAATCTATAAAGAAAAAAAAACCTTACTTTTATTGTTAAAATATTTATTTTCGGTGTCTCTAAGTAATAAGAAGTTATTATATGTAAGGCATCGTCTACAATCTTAGAACATATATACTGGAAGGGCCATAGCTTACTGCCGTTGTCCGCAACATCTATCTATCCTTGTCTGTACCTGGTAGAATATATGTATATACCTATACATATATATTTTCACATACACATATATATTCTCACATACACATATATACTTTCTTAGTCGGTTATCCTCTCACGCAAGCGCATTGACAGATGTAGTACAGACAAGGATAGATAGATGTTGCAGACACTTTGTTACGTACGCCAGATATGCTATGGCCCTTCCAGTATATATGTTCTAAGTCTACAATATAGTCGTATGCCGTAAGCCATAAGACATTGACCAATCACAGACAAATCACGGAAGAATAATCGACTGTGATCGGTCAATTACTTACGGCTTACGGCTTACGACGCCTAAGATATAATGCATTGTAAGATGCAAGCGGCGGAGCGGCGCCACTTGTCGGGATAGCCGACAGGCACGCCGATGTGCGGTAGCGTCCCGAGCGAGCGAGCGACCACGTGGCGCGCCGGAAGACGCGAGTAACCGTTGAGATTTCGAGAGTATGCGAGAACTTTCGGAGTCGGTGGATTTTCCGCCGGATAAGTCAGAGTAAGGAGTAGCATTCACTTAGACACCGTTCAATTGGACACGTTGCAATTAGACACGTTGCAAATAGACACAGAATTTTAGACACGGTTCAATTAGACACGGTGCATTTGGACACGCAAGAAAATTCGCACCGTTCATTTAGACACCGTTCAAATG